GAGTAAGCTGTCATTACAGGAAGAAAAATTGCTGTAGAAGAATGAATCCTGTGTTTAATAGAATGTGCTCTTTTAAAGAAATGTTCTCTGCTGACTAATCTAAAATGCTGCTCTTTTCCTATATCCCATGTTTGTTCCTTTCTGGCATCCAGGGCTAACTACTCTGGCTCTGCACACAATCTCACTATTGTTGGTGTAAAAGCCCTCTCTTAAGGACAAAATGCGATCTGAAAGACCCTTCTTGTGCTCTTTTGCCTGATAGCTTTGCATTTGCCTTCAAATATCTGATCTAAACTCCTTTCCTCCTTTCCTTTTGCATTCTAGTCGCATTCTTCACTGTTATCAATGAAAGCCTAATTTACGTGATAAATCTCTAAAGCATTCTGAAATTCTGCCTTTCAGAATTATGATGGCTATCTATAATGGGCTGCCTCAGAATATTTACAATCTTTAGCCTTCTCCCTACCTATGTCCCCTTTCACGTATGTGAGATCTTCAGCTAGGATTGTTGTTTTATTCTGAAAAAAGAAAAACTCTCAGATATTAGCAAAAATAATCAATGTTATTCAACTCTGCTCTAATACTAGTCTGTTGCACCACTTAAGCACCAAGCACAGGGCATACCAGTAGAGAATTAGAAATGCTACTGACAACAGCTGTAGTGATCGTCTTACAGCCAGCAATACTTAAGGAGATTCAGAAGTGGCATGTGAGGAAAACTTCCAGGTGAGACCAGCAGCTGCAATCATACTTTTAAATAAAGACTGAACTGTTTTGAGCTGAATAAAGCAGCAGCATCTTCAAGCAGTAACAATACCATCTTTACCAAGTGTCACTGCTTATCACATTTACATAGTACTAGCATGTTCAGGGCTGGAAGGGGAAAAACGAAAATTCTAATAGAAATCTAAAACCTATTTCACTCCAGAAGTTTCCAGAAAGTTTATTTATTTTATTATTATTATTTTGTGTGTGAGTCTGCTTGAAAAAATAAATTACTTCCAACAGCTCTGTAGCCAGCCTGGAGCATCTTCACGTAAACAGTTACCAACTTTGTCTGAAAGTCTTTTGAGTTAAAGGAGGGCATTTGCAGATCTCATCGGTCTGAAGGAGCTGCTGCAGAAAAGAACGAGCAGGGCTTTTATGCTTATGCAGAAATAAAGATGCATTTAGAGTGATATCATCAAATTTAAAAGAAATCCTGAGATCAACATGTGGGTTACAAATAACACCTAACATAAAGAACATAATCAAGATTAGATGAAAAAATTCTTTTCCCTAGCCGTACTTGGTGTTTTGGACAGAATTTCTTTTTCAAGGTTGTCTTCTATAGAGCATTTCTACTTCCTTTTCTTGGTGACGACAGAGAGGAAACAAGGGGTAGCTTTCCACACTTCAGCAACAGAAATTAAAATATTTTAGAACAGAAAAACATGTTAGTAAAACCCTAAAAGGTGTTAGCATATCAGAAATGTATATAGTCTCAGCTGCTGCTTTCCATTCCTATTTGCCTAAATTTTAGGTGATGCTATGCTACTCAGAAGGAATATAAAGGCTTCAGACCTCCATGTACATCTGGATGAATTTTATAACATATCACTAAATGCTCCTAAGAGTAGGACAAGTTTATCACTACACAAAAACAAAACTGGAAGAATGAAAGAATGGTCAAGTTCTGATGAAAAATCATTAATCACCTTTTTGGTAGACAATATAGCATAAATCATGCTTAAAATAATAGTGAATTTATTTCAAAATCGTTATTTCTAGAACTACATGATAAAATAGACTTTCATTACAGAGTGACAATTTGATGTTCATTATTGATAAGTAAATGAATGCTACTTTTTTTATCAGGTAACTTCCAGAGTTGAAACTTTAACAACTACATTGCATTTCAAATTTCACACTACCACGGTCTAAATCGTTGCATAGTAATATTAATTCTCTGTGTGTGCATGATGACGTTTAAGGCTATGTTACACATTAACACTTATATAAACTACTGAATTCAGCCAATTTGCTTTCCCTCACTTACTGTCAGGATTATGAAACACCAGCAGTTTTCTTAATTTACATGTTCCTATGTTTGGCCTTTCTCCAGAGTTTGAAAGGCCACCACGGCAGTTTTCTTTCCTTAGTCCAAGTTATTTGCTATGTAGGTATTCGGTGAAAGAAAAGAGTTTTCTATGCTTCAAAAGAATAGGAATTTTTCAGCTGTGTAATCCCAGACTCACATTTGGACTTCACAATTTCTTAATTACTAATTTGAAAATAGGTTGCAAGGAAAATAAAAATTAGTCCTGGAGCTTCTTTTCTATCCACCTGGCATTCGAGCAGGTGCATTTCCCTGTCATCATGGGTGGCACAACTAGAGCTACAACTACAACTATTACTTAGCATCTTCTTTCAGCTTGTAATTCAGACACATCCTTAAGAGTTAGCATGTGCTTTGTCCCATTAGGTTTAGCAGAACCACTCAAGTTCTGGCAGGGCAAAAGCCTAGTACAAATTTGGACGACTTTGGGGTTGAGATCTGGTATAACATTCCCGTTATTGACAGAATTTTGATCTCCTCACAGAAACGGCTCCTCAAAAAATTATTTTTCAGTGGAGAACCTAAGAAGACCTTAGGCATGCTATCTATCCCCTGGGGAAGCTCCTGATCCCAAGAAGCACACCCAAAATGTTTAAGTGTTTGGCTGAATCATGGCATAAACACAAAATGTACTTCTGGTTAAAAGCTATAGGGAGATAGATGCAGATAAAATAGTTTGGTAGCATTCCATGCTATAGTTTAAAAAGATTCATAAAGCATTAGAAAATACGATGATACATTTTTTTTTGTCTTCTTAAAAAAATTCACAGTACTAGAAGTTTGAATGAATATTTATTCTCCAGTGAGCTGTTGAAAAAAATATGGATTTTGGCTTGTTTCCAAAGACAGTTTACCTATTATAGTGAGAGGAGTACATCAAAGCCCTGAATAATAGCAAATAAAGTGGGAAATCCTCATCTCATCTGCTGTCCTTTTTCAGAGAAGCACTGCAGAGAGCTGCCTTGTGTTAGCCTGTTTGATGTTGCTATATTCTGTGGTGGTTTTACCTTGCTAGGAAGCTGAACTCCACCACAGCCACTCTCTCACTCCCCCTCCTCAGAAAAGGAGGGGAAGAAGCAAATAAAAAAAAGCAATTCACTGGTTGAGATAAGGATAATTTAACTAAATGAAAAGAAATTAATAAGGTAAAATTATTATTAATGGAAAACAAACTAATTTAACTAAAGGGGAAAGGAAACCTTTTATTGCTGAGTGTGACATCACATGGTATAGAATATCCCTTTGGTTGGTTTAGGTCAGCTGCCCTGGTGATGTCCCCTCCCCACCTCTTGCCCACCCCCAGCCTGGTGGCTCTGGAGGGCGTTAGAGGGAGTCCTGAAGCTGTGCCAGCACTGCTCGGCAGCAGACACAACACTGGTGTGATACCACTGCTGCTCTAGCTACATGTTCAGAGCAATGCATTGTGTGGGCTGCTGCAGGGAAAGTTAACTCCATCCCAGCCAGACCCAGGACAACTCTCACCCTCCCAGGTGATGAGTCCAAAGCTTACAAAGGCTGATGTCCTAACAGCATGGGTCACATTGACAACAGAGCTAGTCTTATAGGTGATTTTTCCCTTAATAGTTAGGGAGAAAAATCAAACCATTTTCTTCCCTCAAATGTGATAGCTACCTAAGAGCTCTCAATCTATGGCTAACAGGAGGAAGCACAGATTGTACAATGAACAAATTGCCCTAGTCATTTAACTGCCTTTTCTCAGTGACTGATCAATTCCTTTACTGAGAAACTAATTAGTGAACTAAGGATGGAGAAAAGAGTAGAGGGAGAGTGTGTACTGAAACTTTCAGCTGTACCTGTAACAGAGTTCTCTTTTCTTCTCTTTAACTTTTTTATTATTTATTATTATTATTATTTCTGAGATGTTTGGGGTGATGTATGCACACAGTGCAGCTCTGCCAATGCCAACAGACAGTACACTTACCTACTCACTTGGGAATTTCCCCGGCAAGAAAAAGCCCCAAAGGGAAAGCTGTTGTGGTGTGCAGTGTGCTGAGTGAGAGGGTAACGAGGGCTGGCAAGCCAGCATCACTTCACAGCTCAGACAAACAAGTAATAGCAGATCTTGATCTCAGTTCACCTCTATATACCAGGGTAAGGGATGCCAGTACAGGCATGGATTTATGTGCACTCCACGTGTCCCTGATTAGCAGTATTTTTGAGAGGGCCAGGGAGGCAGCTGGGGCTGGTAACAGCTTCACTCATTCAATTTTAATTGACTCCTGTGTGTTTGTCAGATCCCTCAGTGCTGCCTTCTTTCTGTTTTAACTTGTGCCAAAAGCTGAATTCGTCCCATCAACCATGGGGAACAAGCAAGCAAGATGTACAGATCAGTTACAGGTACAGAACAAAGTCTGTGTTGCCTTTTGAATTACATTTTAGGTACAATCTGCACTGAATTTCAAGATCATAGAACAACTATCACAGTTCAAGCTACAAACCCAGTGAAATTAATCACTAGTCACACAGTTGTACATTAAAGCAGGCTTTGATTCACGGTAAGTTTGTTTATTTCTCATTTTGTGTGCGTTTGTATTAGTGTCCAATCTTCTGTCTATGAAAATCCTAACAAAATGCTTCAGTGGGATCAAGACTATACCACTAGCTGTTTAGAAACAACTACTGATAGTGTTTAAATGGTATGCAATCAACCAAAATACTCATAACCAAAACCAAAAAAGCCATCCAAATGAGTGACAATAATGTTTTCTGTAATCTTCCTTTCTCTAACAGTAACAAGTAACTTAAGTGAAACCTTGAAAAAATTGGTCCAGACACATATACAAGATTTCTGTTGTAACTCTTCTAAAAATACATATAAATAATGGTGGGGATAAATGGCAGACAGCATCACAGTTGAAAATAAAAGAATTACAGATCTTACCTCTGCTTTTATTTTATTGTCTCCAAAACAGAGGTGTTGTAAGTAGGCTGCAGCATTGGACTGTACTGAGGGAAATTGATGCTGTAACATCTGTATAACTTCTGGAAGCTCTGGATCCCGCCATCCAAACTCTCTGTGTGAAAACAAACATGAAAGATTCAGCAAAAATTCTGCTGTTAGAGGATAAATGTGGCAACAGTTTGGCCAGAAAGACAAAATACATGTCTAGGTAAAATCTTAATATTTTCTGCTATTTTCAAAGTGAAGATTCAATCAAATATTAAGCTACTTTTTCATTCTAAACTGTACTACACAAAAAAAAAAAAAAAAAAAAAAAAGATAAAGCTAGAATAGCTAGAGTAAAGATATAGCTAGAATAAATAACTTTATGGAATTACATCTCTAAGCGCTAAACTTCCTTAAGTAAAAAGGGCTATATAAAATTTAATATAAGAAGAGAAAGATCCATGCTTACACCATTATACTGTTTCTATTAAAATTCAAATATGGAGTGCTAGAATCAGAACTCTTAAATGGTTTGCTAAGAAATGTTATTTTGTCAAAAAGTCTTTTTTACATACTGCAATCTTTATTCAATAAAAAAATGCTCTTATATAGGAAGTCATTACCTATTTTGTGTTTCAGTTTATTTTTGCCAGATATGGTCCATGCTTAAAGTTATATTATAAAATTTGTATTATATATTGCATAATACATACTGTTATATAATTTTACAAACATTACAGTTATACAATACACAGTTACACAACTGATTACTTTTAAGTCTTCATTAATACTACCCAACCTAAAGCAGATAGGCAAGTACAATGACTCAGTGTTTGCAGTGTCCTTTAATCCTACAAAGCATGACATGCCATTAGCATCAAATGAAACAACCGAACCCAAGTGTGCTGAACAAGCCCCAGCAGGCATTCTGCAGCTTCCAGAGCCGAACTTAACATCAGCCTGTCTCTGCAGGTAATTTGTCCCCTCTGTATCTCTGGGTAAAAGGAGTCATGAAAATAGCTTTGGGCTTTGTGTCCCGAAAGCCAGACATGCATGCAGCCACTCTGCACGAGATACTTCATCTCACACATGCCTTCTTCCTAAGGGCTAATTTTTGTGCCATATGAATAGTTTTCATCACCTTCCATCTAGTGCTGCACATAGAAGGTAATACAGGAATAGGGCTCTCTGGCCTTGGCCACATTCATCCCACTTGCCCTGTAGGAGGCAACAGGAGATTTGACACCACCTCATCCTCAGCATTCAGCTGGGATCCCTGCATGGGGCACCTGGGAAGCCAAACCTCTCACGTCTTCATTGGAGGCACACAAGAGCCACACCAGGGGATAATTCAGAGCAAGCAGCACTGAATTTCCATTTGGTTTGTTTCTCTTCAGTGGAGCAGCCATTACGACTACAAACCCAATTTAGGTGTGTAAGTTAGGTACCTAAAAGAAGTGGAAGGAGTTGACTCCCCAAACTTGTGTTGAGTCCCCCACCTGTGTTTGAATAAAGCTTATAGTAGCTCTGCAGTCTCAAGTAAACTCAGGCATCTCCCGCCTCAAATGTGACAGCTCTCCAAGACATTTCATTGAAACAAGACTCATTTTACAATAATAATGGATTACTATGAAAGAGAAGTGTTATTTGTTCTTTTGTTTGTTCTTTTCTCACCCAGAACATTTGCCAGATTGAGTTATTGTTACAGTCGTATCTTTATGTAAAGATCTAGAATATAAATAGATGTAGAAAAATACACCCAGAATTTCATCTGCTGCTTCTGCTCTGACAAATTAGATGTTAAGACATAAATATTACATTTCACATTAAGTGTTTAATGCAAAGAAAACAGAAGTGTAATAATAAATCGCGTGCGGACTATTCCAGTGAATCCTTGGGACAACACAGACTGTTGGGAAGCTTCTAAGGGAGACTTTTAGACCATAGATCAGAAAGACCTTAACACTGAACTGATATTTTGGAAATGTGGAACAATGAAAAGATATTAGGGAAGGCTAGAAACTTTGGCAGCTGTTAGGAACAAACTGGGACATTAAGCAGCTAATGATGTTGGAAGCAGTTTCATCTGTAAGATAAGGACAATAACTATGGATTAAACAAACAAGATTTAAATAGTTCACAGAAATGACACAGAAAAATACCTAATTTACAATGAGTATCTTCTTGAGGAGAACAAAACACTTCTTACAGAAATACAGCCTCACAATGTTGGGAGACTTGAGTAGCCTTCACCAAACAGACTCAGAAACTGAGATGGTGCTTGGAAGGATTCAGAGAACCCTGTGGTTTACAGACTGAGCACCAACTACTTTGCTAGATAGTTCCTCTCAGAGGAACACTAGCTAACATCTAGCCCTTAATGAGATCAGGGCTTGCAGCTGAAGATGATGGCATGACAAACACTACATCTGCTGCATATGCTAGCTCACTATAACTCTACAGGTTAAGTTACTTGGTTAAGCACTTATTTCTGTTCAACAATGTGCTGAACAAAGTCATTAACAAATCATAAAGTGACAGAGGGCAGTGACAAACAACGTTATTTGATGTGTTAGCTTCCTCTTATACTTTCTCACCGTAATGATACCTAGGTATTAACAAATGTTAACAGGGAGTTCAACTATGCTAGACTTCTCTCCTATATACATGGCTCTCAACCAACTAGAAATCATCCAGAAAATATTTTTACATAAAAAGAAAAAATGAAACAAAACAAAACCTCTTACTGATGAGCAATTCATTATTTGAGCTGCTCTTATAATTTATTCTCATTCCTAGATCCCTAGTGCAGGTGTTGGTATTTTGGAGAGGATATAAAATACCAGAAGAAAACAGCTTGTACGACCAGACAACGAGTGGGAACATTTGAAAGGTGTTGTTTTAAACCAAGTAACTATACTTCAAAGTGTTGGAATTTCTAACACCAAATAGCATCCCAAAGGAAATTTTTTCCTTAATATGTGTATTACTCAACCAAATAAAGAAATACACACACACAAAACCAAACAGCATTATGTGCAATAGTATACCATGTACTATGATACAGCTCAGATTCTTTGTTGTCGTATCTTGGAATCCAGGAGAAAAGAGGCAATCAAAGGGCAAAAGGAAAAGGTCCCTTAATCAAAGGCACACTTAATTGTCCTAATGAATCTGAAGTCTTAATATGATATTTACATACAAAAACAAGGCTGTGCTTACTTTTCCCCTCTGATCTCCTAAAAGACAAGCTGACAAGTAAGTGATGGATAAATACTTCTTGGCAATGTTTGTGTGTACCTTGGGTTTAAGAAGAAAATTAATTCCAAAAAGAAACTTTTAACACAGAATATTGTCATGTAACCAGTTCTAGGGGAGAGAATGAACAAAGCAGAAAAGTTTAACAAAATTTAGCTCCGGTAAGCACTGTCATTTCAAGCAGATGGTCTCTAAGATTGTTATATTTTTAGTAGTTTCTGAATGAAATATGGTAGCTATATAAAACAAACAAAAATTTCTGTCAACAGTTAATGTTGCTTGAATAACTGCGATAATTTTAGCAGCCTTCAGGGCAGGGAGGACTAGTTTCTGGGAAATCATATTTTTCAGTTGTTTTTTAACAGTCTATTCTAGGTGGGAAAAAATGAGGTAGGGAAAGATGATTTTACATTTTAGAAAAGCAAGCTTGCAGCTCTATTAACAAAATTTACTTCAAAAAGTAAGTATGCACATTTTAAAATTCAGGTTAATTATGAATAGTTAGGATGGCTACTTAATGAAGTCTACTGGACAGAGGCCTTGAGGCATATCTGTGTGACAAAAAATACTTATTAAAATGGAGAGTAAAACAAAAAGTGAGAGAAAAACTGGAAGGGATAGGAAAGTAGATTGTAGAAGTCAAGAGTTTGGATAGAGTAGTAGAGTTGGTACTTGATGAAGATTAGGGTCTGATTAAAGGAAGGGAAAAGGATAAGGAAAATCAAATCTATCTCCATTTCTGTGAAACATCCGATATTGTGCTACATGCAAATGAGTTAAGCTGGCAACAAAAGAGGCTCCAATCCCTAGTAAAAATATAATAGTAGAATTAAGCAAAATTTTAAAATTTATTGGGTAACCTAAGCAACCACTGTGTGTCATTTATTAACATCCCCATGCTTATGAAATCTGAGAGAGGCGATACACATGGATGATGAAAGGAGCCAGAAGGTTGCAGTAAATCTGAGGAGATGCATGGCATGCAATTTTTGCAAATCCTATCAAATTATCTGTGCAATCGATCCAAAAATGAACAGTAAGCTAGCATATGCATTTTCAAGATCTTCTGCTACTGGCTACATTGCTCTGGGAATACCAACACTACGCAGCTAAGGACAGCTAACAGCTTCTGGTGTTGGTGTGGCTTTTGTGCAAGGAAATTGTAGCTGTGCAACAACTTGGCAGCTTTGGCTGGAAAGCAGCATTTGCAATACACTCCAGACAGTTCATCAGGTTGTAGAAGTACATTAGTACTAGGAAGCATCCTTATCTGAGGGGACTGACCAAACCAGGGCACTGTGTTCCTTCCACCTTGTCTCTTTGACAGAAATTGTGTTCTAGGAGTATAAGACCAATCTCTTCTTGAATCCTTCAAAAGGTTTTAGCTGGAAGTGGTGACTAATGACATGGATTGTGGTAGGCTACTGTCAAGAGGTGGAAGATGACCCAAAGGGGAACACTGACTTACATGTATATGTAAGCTGGCTTTACATGTATATTTGCTTAGAGAATATTGTCTGGGATCAATTGAAGAGAATCAGGTAAGAGTTGGACATGAGATACAATAAATCTGAAATGGAGCAGTATAAGCAACAATACCAAGAAATCCAGTCTGAATGAGGACACTAATTATTGCACTGAAACCAATTCCTGCTCCCACCATCACAGGGAAAGGAGATACAGACTGCAAACATAAGTGAGATTGTTAGTAACACAGCTAACTGCACTGGCTATGAGGGATCGCTGAAAGGTGCTGTGTTGAGGACAGGGTATGTACATCACCTGAATATTTGCTTGAATTTTGCAATAATTCTTTTTTTCTTTTCCTACTGCAAATTCTGATGACACACAGAAAAGAAACACCAAAAG